GGCTAAGACACTTGGCAATTGTCTTCCTCCATCACATAAAGTGGAAACGAGGTTTTCCAGAAGCCATACTAGTAACTCCATTCTTATTCTAATCCCTTCCTCTCCTGGCGCTGCTCCACTAGCTGCCTTATTCCTGAGTTCTGTTTGACACTTCAGTTCAACCCTCCCCTTCCCCCCCCCAAATTCACTTCTGTGACATCACATAAACAAGGAAATAGTTCAGGCAGCTGTGGCTCGTTCTGGCAATAGGCTTGCATTCAAGGAAACTTCTAGGGTGAAGGTTTTTAATCTTTTTTTGTGCCATGAAATCCTTTCACAGTCTGGTGATTCCTGTAGGCCTCTTCTACAAACAATATTTTTAAATGCAAAAGATAAAATACAGAGGATTGAAGGAAAGACAGTTATATTGAAATAAAGTTTCAAAATAGGAAGAAAACAAGTTTGTGACATAGTAACTCAGGCAATTCTTTGCTAATATGTTTAATAAAAAGAGGTAGCAGTTGGTCTAATTACCACCATCACATTTTAGTGGTGATGACCCTGAATGATTAGAACTATCTGCCACAGCCATAAAATGACACAAAACATCACATTCTGTTGTGATTCAGGTCAGAAGCAAAGTTAAAGGTGATGTTAAAATGCAGCTTGTCCACATTCAGAACTGAAGCAAATACTAAATTCTTTTAGGGGTTAGTGACACTAAAAATGTAATTTTTCCCTATCCAGATTATAGACTCCATACATTTAGATTAAAATCCCTGTTGTACAGCTTTAAAAGCATTTAGAAAATTAAGATACTCTTTTAACACTGGGCAGATCGTAGACTAAATGTACCTTAGACGCTTCTGCCCTTCCAGTCTTCACTCACGTCCAAAACAGGAATAATCTGAGGCCCCTGCTGCCAAGTGGTAAAGCCAAATTGCACAAGAACAACTCTTAAATTACTTTTGGTGGAGAAAGTTAGTCACTGAATGGTTTGAGGTGAGTAGGACTTGTCTATACAACCTTATCATGAGCTTATAATGAGAGCAAGTTTTAGAGCAAATTCTGCTGTTATAAATATAAAATATATTAAACAGACATTTGGGTGCAATCAAGCCCCAAATAGTCAATATTACCTCCTCTGTAAGCTTGAGTCACCGTTCTGCCTTGCTTGATGCCCACGCATCGGCATGGAACTTTCATGCCAGGCGGGTGCGAAGACATCCTGGAGGCGTGAGGCCGTGGCTGGTACAGTCAGCGTCAGGTAGTCAGGAACCTGCTGCAGAGCCGCTAAGGGATGGAGCCCTGGGGTTGTGCCTGAGCGCACAGATCTGGGCCCCCAGAGTGCCTACGTCCTGTTCATGCAGGTATGAGCAACATCCCTAAAGCACTTTAGCCGAGTCACACCTTAAATACAATTTTCATTTTATCTAATCACAGTTCTACCAAGGATCATGCTAAATAACAAGCCACTGATTTCTCTGAGCAAAACCCAGGTCTGACTTTCCTTTTGCTAATTAGAAAATCCCCAGGTGTTAGTTGAGATAGCGATAGCTAAAAGCTTTTAGTAGCCACCTCTGGAATTAGCCTTTTTAATGTAACCTTAAGGCACTATTTTTGGAGTGTGGATTCTTGATTAGAGAAACTGAATGGCCCTGAAGCTGAGGCTTAAACTAACTAGCGCGTACACGGTATATACAGTGTGTGCCTAAGTGCTCTAAAGTGAATTACACTGTAATAGTCTTGACTACAAGTGTAGTATTTTTGTAAGTCCCTTCACCGAAGAATTCCAGATGCCTGGCAGCCGGCTCCCACATCCGCACACCCACCACGCAGTGGCCTCTTACCTCACTGGACTGTCACTGAACCTCTGTGCATTTTTTATCGCCCATTATAGGTCCTCTTTCACCCAGTTACCATGCTTTGAAATCATCGGATTGAATTTCAGGATTGAAATGAGATCCTTCTTTAACAAACTCGTTAGTTTATATTAATTATCCCAAATTGTTTTGTTTAGTAAGATATCTGATACACTAAAGTGTGGGCTATTTATTTATTAGTTTACATGTGTCCTTACAAGGTCCTTACAGAGAAGAAAATTAAAAAGTAATGTTAGTCCATTATTGCAAAAGTCTAAACATACTTGTTTTCTGTACAAAGGGGCAGCAAAATGCATGCATGAATTCTAAAGAAAGTAGAAATACATGCCAGTGGCACTTGCAAGTTATTACACTCTAATTGTAGTTAATTTCATTCTCTGGGACAACTAATCTCTTGGTAACATTTGCAGTGACTGATTAAAATCCACTCCTTGCTAAAATCAAGGCCTTTAGGTAATTGATGTGCTAAAGACCTGCAATCATTTGAGGCTGTGCTTCCTCACAGAGAGCAAGTCAAGGAATGGATCGAGTCCAAATAAAGTACCTATTTTGCAATAGGAGCTTTGATAATTGCCAGGAGACAGGCTGCTTATCAGTTGTGAGAGGTTTTCATCCTTCATTAATATGTAGTTCAGTTGGACATCAGAGAAACTGGCCCCCATGGGAATATTCTTTGAATCTCCCATTATCTCATTTTCCACACACTTGGCTTGACCCACTTTTTATCTAGGTTTCACAGAAAGATCTGGCTTTCCACATGCAGGCCTTCCAAACAATCGGCTTGCCATGAGCCCTCATCGCCAAAGCTCCTCGCAGTGTCGGCTGCTATAAGTTGGACAAGTGTGCACACCGATAAAGTATCGGTTTAAATGTTCCAGACTAAATACTTTAGAAGTAGACAAAATACATATTCCAATGTGCTAACCTGCGGGTTTTCCTCCTGCGGCTTTGGCCTGCACATGCCTGTGTGGTAGACCCTCGATTGGGGGTGGGGGGAGGGCTCCAGGTCTTCTCTGTCTCTGGGCATCTCAGGACCTGGTCCTGCTGGCAGCTGACTCCTGACTTCTGGTACCTCAGGCTGAGCTCTCTACAGAGTATGCATGTACCCACCGAGAGACTGGGGACTATGCCTTCAGAACTCATTTAGTGAAGCAAGAACCATTTTCTTCTGTCTCAACAAGACATGATCCAGGAGGCCAACACCATAAAACTGTCGCTTGATGCCAGCCAATTTCATTTTGTCCTGTTGAAGTGGGGCACAGTACTTTGTGGCCTCAGCGGCTCTCTTTGCCCTCATAAAGAACATTCTGGCCTTGGAGTTTATGACTGAAGTAACTTACAGATGATTCTTTACAATTATAACATGAGGGCTAATGGGTTATCTTTGGACTCCACCTTCATTAAGGCTCAAAACAAATATCCAGTGTGGTCAATTACTGATGCTGCCACATCCGATTCCTGTGGGGAATGGAGAGATGTTGTGCATGAAATGGATAAAATGTATCAGGGCCAAGCGGAACGGCTAATAAGAGTAATCACAGTAATAGATTTAAAAATTATTTTAAATCTAGTTTTAATTACATAGGTCCATTTCAGAAGTCCTACTGATGTGAGAAATTCATAAATTCTATGCAAATTGAAAATGGAAATTACTTTATTAAAAGCCTACTGTCTCTATATTATATGTAAATGTATGCATATATAGAAATTATGCATTTATATGTATTAACTTTGATTTATTAGGATTACTCAATTTCATCTCCTACTTAATAATTGGTCCTTATTAACCCTCAACATTCCTATCAAGATACATACTCTTATTGATGAGAAAACATAGAGGCATTCTAAGATTACTGAGTGTATGTGTTTTTTAAACCAAATTTGCTTCCCATTTTAGAAACGATGTCACCAAGGAATCACCATGAAATTTAAGTTCTGTATTTTTCTTTAAGATAAAAATAGAGAAGAGAGCTCTCTAAACATTAGAAATTAAAGTCCAAGAAAAACTTTAATTAGAATCCCTGGCTCTTGCTTAGTGTGCATTCTACATCTTATGTCAGCTTGAGTAGGTGGGGGACTTCCCCTTCCATTTTAGGTTGAAACCAGAATGAAAAGTTCTTTGGAGAAAAATTAACTCTGGTTTCTGTTCTTATAATTCCCTCCTTCCCATGAAATGAAACTATACAGAACATTTGAAGTAGCACCTCAAACCCTCTTGGGCTCCTCTGTCACTGAAGACATCAGATGGCTGCCTCCAGAGGCACATAGCAGATGAGATCAGAAGCCTGTGCCCTGAGAAGCGCCAGGGGAGAACCTGCAAACCTTGGGGTTGTGGCCAGGCCAGAGGTTCGAGTATCCTGAAGGGTCTCATTTAATTTGCCCTCAAATCTGAGGGCTTTTCTACCAGTAGGTTTGCTCTGGGCTCAGATATTTTGACTGAACAGTCTATGGATGGGGATCGGTGCAGATGGTGCGGGAGCCTTGGGTTCTGAATCCCAGCATGGGCTCTGTGGCTTCTCCACTTTCTTGTTAGTTAAGGACAGAAGGCCTTCAGCCCGTCCATCCACATGGCTGAGGTGTCAGAAAATGCCTGGGTCTGAAAGGAGAGGCCTGTAGCTGGGAACGTGCTGGCTGGGAAACCTTCAGTGGGAGGCTCAAAACATCTCCAAAGATAAGACACGAACGAAGTGGGTGGGGCTGACTCAGAAGTTCAGGCTGGGCGTGGAAACATTACCCATGCAGAGGAGACCAGCGTCCGGACAGTCCCTTGTTCCGCCGAGTGATCTTTCCCAGGAGCAGGTTTATGCCACTGTCCCCTTGCTTACAGCATCTCACTGACCAGGGCTGTGGCAGGCGCAGACGTGGGGTCCCATGGGCAGAGAGCAAAACACTTATAAATTACAAGTCAATTGACAAACTGACAAATAGATTGTATTCTGTAAAAAATATGCCTTTATACTGACAAAATATCATTGTAACAGTTAAACGTATGGTTTCTGTATACAGAATGAAGTCAGGGGAATAGTAAAAAAACCTAAATTGTATCATTATTGTGCATACCCGAGTATTCTGTTTAGTCTGGTAATATCAGAATGATTAAGAAATAGATTATTTATATCCTCTAAATATAGCAAATTACTGTTACTTCAATCAATGTTTTTATACAATTTGAGTGGTTGTAATGAACTAAAGAATTAAAAATATGCCAAGTATTCCAAAGTTTAATATATTTTCACTTGTAACAATATAAGTTAAATGTACAAGTGAAAAATTAATATTAGTTTTCATATTTGCAAAAAGACTTTTCTCCCAAATATTCAGAATTATCTGTAAGATTAGGAGACATCTTATCACAAAATATTATTAAAATATTAATATATTTTAAAATAAACCTGAAATTCTTACATAATTTTTAAAAATTTAATATAATCATATAAATAAAGCCATTCAAATAATAACATTCAATGTAAAACCATGCTTCATGTGTTTTAATGTAAATATTGTATGTGTGTGTGTACAGAGAGAGAAAGGGAGAGAGTGAGAATTTTTTTAAGTAATATAAAAATGTAACAAAAAAAATCTTTGGCCTCGTGTGCAAATCCTGGGACTACCACCTGATCCCTGTGTAGCTCTTTGTCGACATACTAGAACATAAACAGAAGCAGGGAACAGGCTACGTACCTGCTCCTATTTGAAAACTATCTTTCATTAGGCAAGAATCTATTGCATATATATGATCTGAAAAGTTTTAATCAATTAGTATATACTAGTGAAAGAAAATTATTTCCACTTCTCAAGTTCTTCCCAGCTTTGAAGCAGTGTCCATGTTCAGCCGCCCATGTTCACAGACTGGGGACCCAGTGGCCTGTAGATGTGGGACCAGAGATGTGGACAGGTGTGGCTGTGGGTCCTGAAGGCTCATCACCAGAGTGGACGTTTTCAGTTGTGTGTTGAACCGGGCCAGCAACAAGTGCTAAAACCAGAGTACAGAGTGGTCCTGCGTCCTTTGATAACTTAACGTTGTGTGTGATCCTGAAACGGAAGCCTTCTAAGGCCTTCACGGATTCTGGAGCAATGGCCCCCGAGCCTGAGACCAGGAGCAGCACGACCATGACTACTTAGCCTTTACAATACAATCTGTACATATTCTTAACACAAGATAGAAGACAAACTCCTTAGGCCCAAGCTCCGGCTCCCTTTTCCCACTGGATGTTTTCCTCATTCTCATGTTTCTATTCAGCTTTGCAGTAACTTTATTCCCCATTATCCTTGCTTTTTCTTGTCTTGGAACCTTTCCTTTCAAAACCCTTTTCCTTTACCGCTTTCCTGATTGATTGCTCATTAAATCAGACATTAGATATCCCCATTTCTGTCAGGCCCACCTGGGTTAGGGTCTCATCTAGGTGTGCCTGCAGCACCCTGGGCCTCCTGCCTTCACAGCTACCACACCGTATCCTCATTTCCTGCCCACTAAGGAGGAGGCTGCTCCTAATCACGAGCATGTTAAGGGCAAGAACTGCATCTTATGTGGTTTGTGATCCCTCCACCTGGTACACTGTCAACTGATGGCATCCTTGATGCTTAATAAACACCTGATAAAAGAATAAATGATTAAATAAACGCAGGTACTTGACTGTGACATTGTCATCAATACGTGGATATAATCAGCTCTATTTATTTTCATTTATCTGTCTGTTGCCAGAGAGCAAATGCCATAGCCGAAGCATAGCCCATCCCAGGTGTCCATGGAGAACAGCGAAGGTCCTCAGCCGCAGCGTGTCCCAGCGCTCCAAGGTCAGCAGCAGATGCTCCCCTCAACACGCATAACCTTCTCTTCAAATACAAGCCTTTGCTATATCGCACCAAGTCTTGCACATATTCAGCCTGTTCCTGACAGGCTTCAATGTCTTCTGTTTGTCACCACATGTGTGAAAAGACAGCTGATGCCAGGGCTCCATGCAGAGTTTTCCAAAAGGTCAACCAGCATTCAGATGTGTGCTGGTAAAATCCATTCCTCCTCTTTCAAAAATTTAATGAGAAAGGACAGCTTTGTGAAATGGAGAAGCAAGAACAATATTGCTTAAATAAATTGGAATTTGCACTTTGATTACTCTGCAGTTTCTGCCACACTTTACTGTAAACACTCCCTTTGTGGCAGGTTTTCTCTGGAGTGACATCATCACACAAAGCCATCCTCACTATAATTATTTCTATCCCTATTTGTAGAGCCCAGAGCAAGAACATCCAGTAAGTAATATCTGATGCATATACAACAATTTAAAACTGTAGAGTCACCAGAAAGCCCCATTAAAAGGCAAATGATATATCTTTATGCATGCCTCTGACCCCAAGGGAGATATTTCACATTCACATTAGGAAAAAAAAGAGATGGTCTCTTTCAAACAATGAAACTGTGGGCAAATATCCTCTGCCATGAAATAACAAACAACATGGGTAATTTCAGCCACTTTTCTTGGAATAATACTTAAGAACTGCACCAAAGAGGGAGCAGGCTCATTTTAGTTCACATTGTGCAATTTAAACCCTTTTGGAATTTAGGTTCTGTCAATGTTAATACTAAGCATAGGGGTTTTACTGTTTTATTCTTGGCAATCCTGGTTTCCTTCCCCTTTGGAGAAATAATTCTTTTTAGAATATGTGGGGTTTTTTTTTATCTTAATAAAAATTAGAACACCAATATGAAAGTATTAATTTCTCAAAACTCAAATAACTCTCTAAAAAAACAAGACATTTTTGACAATTTGAGTGAAATTTAAAAACTGTGCAAGCTGTGGGTTGGCTTCCCTGACAGTCGGCCCTGTGCTCGTGCTTCCCCTGGGGGAGGCTTCAGCCTCCCACTGGGGCGAGTTAAAGGGTATGGACAGGTCCTTTGTCTCCTGGAAAATAAAAGCTTCTACCATCTGCTCACTGAGGCTTTGATTTTGTTTTAAATGCAGAAAAAAAATGCCTTTAACTCTGCAGTTAGTGATAAGGTCCAGATTCACTCCTTCAGCCATTCATTCATTCACCACAACAAGGAAAGGGAAAAAAAAACACTGGTGTTGAATAATAGGTTAAATTGAAAAGCTTACTTAACAGAATGGAAATGTGATTTTTCTTTCGTTCTCTAACGGTTATTTTCAGACCTTCCCTGTAAAATCCTCCTTCCATGTCCTTTAATGTTATCTCCATTGGATTCCACCATTTTTCAGCTATTAGCAGGTACCTAAAAGTCCAGGCTCGTCTAACTCAGTTTAAGACGCCAGTCCCCACCCCAGGCGGGGCCCCTTGCGCCCCCTGGCCCCGCAGGGCTCCCTGCGCCTGTGCCCATACTTCCCGCCCCTCTCCTGACCCTCTTCTCTCCCCGGAGCTCTGGCGTCTGTGCCCTCCCACCAGGACAAAACTGGGGGCCGAGAGGGCATCCGTCCTTGTACGGGCTGCTGGGGGTCACCTGCAGGCTGCCACGGAAGCCCTACAGCGCGTAAGTGGAGACCTGCTGTCCGGGGGGGACAATGCTGGGCTCTCAGGAGGCCCTGCAGAGGCACTGCCCCCGTGCCGTGAGGTCGGGGCAACCTTCCTCCCTACCCCCTGGCCCTGGGCCACCACTGCTCAGTGCCATGACGGTGGGGGCCTCTCGTAGGGCAGACGGACCACCTGCCTTGCAATTCTGTCATGTCCTCAAACTCCCAGGAGCACGTGTCAGTCTCTCAAACATGAGCTTTACTAACATCTGTTGTGGCTGCTTGAAGATTTACACCTATTTCTAACAAAACTCCAATGTGAAATGGGGTCGACGGTATATCCATCTGGAAGCAGCAGACGATCACCCCATGTACCCCGCACCTGTCCAAACGACGCGCAGTTGCCCAGTCACTCCGGAGCGCAGGACCCGCCTCGACGGCCGCCTTCAGCTGTAAGACGCGCCTGCGGCCGACTGCACGGGCTTCTCCTGTGATTTCAGCTTCCGTTTTCCTAGAAGACATTAGCCATGTTCACCCTCGACGAAAATGCTGCTAAAAGCTGTCAAATACATATGTTTTCACTATTCTCATATTTCCTGTTTCCTTGACTGAAATTTGTGATGTAAGTGGGAGCAAGTAGTACCAGTTCTCAAACTTAGAAACTAAGTTCTGACCTCATTTGCAGCAGAATTAAATACGTCTTTTAAAACGTTTTGCGTTTCCTCGCGTTTCTCAGGGGACCTCGCCCAGCTCTGTAAGGAAAGCAGGGGCAGAGCGCCTGGCGGGGTGGTCTCCTCCTCACTGTCAGCTCCCTAGGGCTCACAGTCGGAAACCAAAGCCGTGACTCTGTGTTTTGGGGATCTGGGTAGTGGGTTGTCCCAGTCACTGAATAAAGCTGCTTGCCAGGAAAGAAGCCTTGACACTAAACAAGACAGCAAATGCTTTAAGTGCAGAGGGACCATCAGGAGATTGGGTTAAAAACGTGTGTTCATACCTTTGAAGCAGCGAGAACCCTCACCGCTCTGTTAGACTAGAGAGGGTCTTAAGTAAGTTGCCCGCACCTGCAGACTTCATAAATCTTACGGGTCTTTAACATATTTAAATAAATGAAACACCTCTTTCATTATACATCGCAAACAATATTGAGCAGGAGGCATGTAAGAGATTGTGGATAAGTGCTTGCTTTAGAATTCGATTTAAATCATTACACTTTCTTCCTTTTCCAAAGGACATTAGATCAACCCTCATAATCCATCCTTAGATCCCACTAAAATCGTCCTCTTCCCCATTAATGAAAAATATTCAAATGTTGAAATTTAAAAAATTTTTTCTCTGAAGTTACTGAAGTTATAAATGCTAATCTACAGCTTTCAGAAATTATTATAAATTTCCAGTGTAAATTTATAACTTGTTACCAAGAGGGAAAAAAAACCCAACTTTTACTATTATCATCTTAGAAAGGAAGGTGGGAATATTTTATCGTTAAAGAAATTATCTCTTTAAAAAATTCTTTTCTGGAACTTTATCTAAACACTTGCTGTTATGATGTGTAGAGCAAGGTACTCTTCTTGAGTAACAGAGCATAATTTTACGCAGAATTACCACAGATTGCCCCCAGATTTCTCAGTGGGCGTGTCCGGGGAGTTCACGTAATGATGCTGACAGGCTCCCAGGAGGCTCAGGGGGAGCCCAGCCACCCGCCAGGGGGTGTCAGTGAGAACCGAGCCTGGCTGGGTGACACCATCACTTCCAAACTCCACAAACCTCAACATTTTGCTGGGCTCCAAATTCTCCAGAAGCTCTTTCTTTTCTTTGTGACAATTCCCATTTCATCCTCTTTGACTCCAGCTTCTGATTATGACTGCTCGTCCTTCAAATAAGACTTCATAAGGCTGACAACACCAGGAGACGCCGAAGCCGTGTGGATGGGTGTGGAGTCGAGGCTAATCAGGAAAGTCATTAATTATCCTTTCTGTGCATATTTACATTGAATTGCAGTTTGGTTCCATCCCAGCCAAATTTTAATTCCAGATGAATTATGCTAGCCTGTGAAAGAGTGGGCCACGAAGGCTGAATCAAGTTTTATTCTGCACAGAAGAGATCATAAGATACACAGATGCTTTCCAAAGAAAATGTAAACGATTCATAAATGTCTTAGTGACTCTACCTTGTCTAACTTATTCTTAAACTCTGGAGGTTACGGAATAAAGTTACTCGCTGAGATGATCACACATTACCTTGTGACGCTCTTCAATGTGAGATACCCATTAATTTGCTACACCACCACATTTCCTGATCACACCTCTAAGTGCTGTTTTCTCTCAATGACATCCCCTCAATCTTCAGAACGCCGGCTTGCGGCTTGCAGAGCAGAGAGCGCAGTTGCTAATGGGTGTTAACCCCTTCTTCAGAGACAACAAAGCAGCTCCTGAAATAGGGCCCCAGGGAAGGTGAATTCCACATGCGCAGGTGCCACTTCCTGTGTGACTGAGTCAACTGCGAATCAGCCACACAGTTCTGCCTCCAAGAAGCTTTCCCTGGGTGTGCAGGGCTAGGTGCCTCTCTATTCATTTCTTTAGTAAAACACAGTGCTGTCTCTGAAATGCCACAAGCAAGACCCCTTCATTGAGTTATTTGTTCATTGGTTAATCATGCATTCAGAATGTATTCTGTGCCTGCTAAGCCCTAGTACATATATTTTGAGTGTTAGGAATTTATTTAAATGTATATAGATGGCTGTATCAGTGGAGCTGAAACCTCAGAGATGGTGGCCAAGTGAGAGGAGGACCGGAACATTCATCTAATGTTTGGGGCATTTTATCAGGCTTCCGGAGCATGCCAGGGGACCAGGGGCTCCGGTGACTGCCTGCATGTGTAATGAGCAGGGCACGAGGTTGAAAAGACAGCCACACAGCTACACCAAATTCAGCAGACTACATCTCACTAACACGCCTGGGTTTTTTGTTTTTTAATGTATGAATTCTGAGCCACCTCGGATCACTCCCAGGCTCCTTCTAATCACTCACAGTGACGAGCCTTGCCCTCTCACTGCAGCTGGATACCCCAGGCATCTTTGTAGCAAAAACAGCAAATGATTGGAACACTACGATTTAAACTGAAAACCAGAGCACAGGTGGATATTTGTTACAAGGCTGCTTGAAAGTATGTGTCCAGGGTTTGTGGGGCCACAGGAGACACAGAAGGACAACCCGAGGTTGCCTCCACATCATACTGACGAAGAAGAAACTGGTTTTCTAAGCTGTCTGCAATAGCTCACGGTCTGGAGGCAGTGTGGGTTGACTTGTAGGATCCTGTGCACAAAGCCCTCACTAGTGTCCTAGCGTGCCCTGCTCTGAATAATGGCTGTTACTAGAGGGAGGTGGTGACAAGCAAGAGCTACTGCCAGTGTCTGGCCACCTTAGTCAGAGGGATGCAGGGAGAGATGCATGTACTGCACACATAATGCGATGCTGTGATTTATATGACATATTTTGGGGGGCACCTATTTGTTTCAGTAGCCAAAATAGCCTTCCAAGTACAGCTTTTTCAGAGTTGATAAATATGCGGTACCCATATCTTGACTCTAGAAGATCAGGGAAAAAGATTACATATGCAGCTTCTATGAAAGCAGGTTCTCTCCGACTCTCTGAGAGCACAGGGTAGGCTATGTCTTTGTGAGGTCTGGGGGCCCCTGGAACCCACTGTTTTTAACCTGTTCTTTATTATTTATATTTGGCTTTGAGAGAATCTCTTTCACCAGTTCACAGGGTGAGCATGGTCGAGGGGCCAGAGCACCGTTCCGCATGGGTGTATTGTTTCTGGGGTGTGGTGGAGGTGATGTTTTCCTGAGGAGGTGAGGGAGATGAGGGGCAGATGAGAGAAAGCAAAATGCATTTTGCTTTTGGAATTTTGTTCCACCCTGAGCACTTGTGTTGCAAGATATCATTTGCACCATTCTCTCTATTTTTAACCCAAAGAGTCAGAAATATTACAGAATGCCTGTAGTGAGTTACATCTGCTTGGCAAACAAACTTTTATTATCAACATAATTAACACACAGTTAGGGTGTCCATTTCTTGTGACAGTCATGAGAATTACGAGAGGGTGGGCACTCAGCTACATCAGTAATTGGTGTGGCCCAAACAGCCCTTTTCCCTCTCAACAAAGGACCTTACTGTGGTTTTTTTTGCCAACTTGTGATGTTCAGACCTAACGGCCATGCCTGCTATCAGGTGAGCAAGTGTTAACAATGCCAATCAAGTGGATACAGTAAAACTCAGTTTTCCCTGTAGTGTGAAAGGAAGCTTTTACCTTATCCTAAACTCTTGCCCACTCCGTATTGTCATCCCACTCAGGCCCATTCTGTTCACCTAAAAGCTGGCACGTCAAGTTAGGTTTTACAGAAAACCAGGATACCACGAGGCTTCTCCTTGGAAGACTGGACAGAATAGAGGATCCTGGAAACGTGTTGGATTTGTATCTATTATATCAACTCCAAACTCTGCTCCTGCCAGGAAACCATAATTCAGATTCTGGACCAGACCAAAAAAAAAAATGGAGAAGCCTTTCAAAGCCTAAAACGACTTATCACTCACCAGAATTCAACTTCCAGGTATCCTTGTGCAATCTCAGTAAAAACTTGGTCTTGACAGTTACGACTGAAATTTGTCTTTAGAATATTCCCCATATGCATGCGCACTCGCTCCATACACACACACACCAGTGTGAACCACTCAGTTCACATCCAGGAGAACCAGCCAGTAAGACTGGGGTGTGGGGCTGTGTGAACCCTACGCCTCCGCAGACCTTAAACCGCAGGCCTGGATAACACCAGGCTCACGACGACTCCATCAGGCTGCCCACCCCCCGCCCCCGCCCCCGCTTGCACCTCACGCGGGTCTCACCCCACAAGCGCGTCTCGGGAAAAGGAGGGATGCCGCTAACACCTACCCACCCTGTGGCTTCAGGGAGTCAACAGATGAAGATGAATACTTCTTGTAGGTGCTCTGCTAGGTATTCAGAAGACACACAAAATTTCATGGCCCTTGTGGTTGAGTAGTTCTGTTTGGGGAGAAAAAGCACATACAATGTTAAATAGGATGAGGATAAAATCTTGATCTGTGCCACAGTGCAAAAGATATCACCTACATGTGCATGATAAATTGGCAATAAGTGGTGTGGAGCAAAGGGTCCCACGTCAAATACCAGGGGGCTTGTGTGTCTCTCGCTGTGATGTGTGCCACACTAGTAATATATTATAAATAATTAAGTACTGGGTTTGCAGATTATTTATACTTTCATAATTCTACTTTGTAAAGATGACATGACAGTCGTTTACATCCTGAGGCGATGACCCGAGAGGCAGAGAGAGCGAGAGTCCCAGGTTGCATCTCACTGCCGGACGCGCCCCGCAGAAGCTCGGCCCGTGGCTCTCCGGCCCTCTGATTGCGCTTTGTTGTTCCTCGTGGCATTTACAGCCTTCTAACATTCAATGGAATGCCCCTATTTATTAAGCTTATTCTTAGTTGCCTTTCCTACCCACTAACACGGAAGCACCCCGAAAACAGGTGCTTTGCCCACAGTGCCCACTGGAGTGCCTCGAGCCCAGGGCTGGACACTGTCTCTGGGGTCTTTCCCTGGGCATTAGAAAGGCTGACAGCCACAGCATAGGCTGTGAACTCACAGGACAGAAGTGTTTTGTTCTGCTAAGGCTAAAACAGTCTAATTTGAAATGAGCCGCAGACTTTCTAAGAGCCTCATAATATACAAAGTTCAGTTTTAACATAACAGAAAATGTATGTTCTTTACTCTTGTCATTCTTTGTCTCACGCTGATATTACTGCATTCTGAAGTTGTTCATCATCTATTTGTCTGTTTTTACCCTGAAATATAAGCTCCCGGGGGCTCTGTCCTGCACCTCCAGTTCCCGCCTCTGACGGACCGAAACCTGGAGGCAGAGCTGTTACTAGGTTTCTGATAATTCAGCAGATTTTAATTTTTAAAAGAAAAAAAGTGATGCTCGCACAACAGAACCCTGCTCTTATCCTTCCCTATTTCTGCTGGCGTTTGAAAGGACATCCGAGCAGCCGTCACCAAGGAGATCACTGGCTGAAACCGACGCAGCAAGGATGGCAGACAGCAGAGGCCCTGGGGGGCGCAAGGCACAGGCCGAGGTGCGGCCCCCAGTGGGGCGGGAGAAGGGACCGCACCCGGAGTGGGCGGCTGGCGATGCTGGGCAGCAGGGACCACACGAGGAGAGGGCGAGCAGGTCCTGCTGGCGGGTGAGGAGCGGCGAGCAGGGGCCGAGCGGCCGGGTTTTTAATGAAGTGCAAGCAGATCGCAGAGAGAGGCAGGTAATGACTGTGACGAAGAGCTGGCCAGGGTGTGAAAAAGAAAAATAACAAAATTAAGTGACACTTGGTGAATCACAGGAGGACGTGAAATCTGAAAGAGCTTCTGGAAAGAATGGCCAACCCCTTGCAACACTCCAGAGCCTGTTAGTAATTGAATTGGGCAGCTCGTTAATGTCGTGTGTGAGCAGATAGGTGCCCAGCAAAAAGGCGAGGGGCCGAGCAGCCCGAGCGACACAGTCCCTGTTCCTGCAGCCGGAGAGGCGGGAATACGAGGTGCCCAGGAGCCGCAGTCAGGAAACACCCCCTGGGAGACGGCAGGCGGGTCCTGGGGAAGTAACAGGAGTGGTCAATGTGGCCCCAGGAGGCAGAAGTCACACCAAAAAAAGAGGAATGTCTAAAATTGGGTGTGTCGGCACAAAATCCCTCGGCGAACAGTGAGGGAGGGGATTTAAAGAAGCTGTTTGAAGGGCGATATGAGTAAAGGGGGGGTAAGATTTCAGGTTCTCTGTGGATACACGAGAGCTGACCCCCGAACTGTCACACACGGTGCGAGGGGGCTGCTTGCATCTGGCAGAGGCCTCCAGTGTTTTCCCAAATAAAAGTGGTAAGTGGGGCTCTAATTATTTCAGTGGCTTGGTTAGTTCTCTGACCACGTTGACCGGAAATGAACTGACATGTATGTAATGCCTGTTTTGAGCTGGGTACTGACTGACACTCTAACATGGATGAGCTTGTTTGCTTCCCACAACAAACGTGTTTCATGCATCATCAATCGCGACTTTTGGTTGAGGGACACTGAGACCACACAGCTCCTAACAGCGGGGCCAGGAGCTGCTGAGTCCGGCAGCCCCAGAGCCACTGCACCCGGCCGCTGCTGAGGAGCTGTCAGCTCTCTAAGGACGACTCACAGATTCAGGAACTGGGTTTTGGGTGTCATACGCTTACTCACACTCAGATTCAGAAGACAACTTCAGACAGTCTCTTCTACCTTTTAACCTCCTTGAGCTTCAGTCTTGCTAAGGTTTGTTCCTTTATGAGACCAACACCTACCTGTACATAACAAAATGATCTTATTGAATCAACGTTATACACACATTTTTAAATAGTCCTTAGACTCCCATTACTGCATTTTACTAGGCAAGACAACAGTCCCCAAGTTCCCCTCCGAGGGCTGGGGTGGAGTGGGGGGCAGAACTGAGTCATTCATTCTTACGTTAACAACCATCATGGAGTGCTGGGCATGTACCAGCACTTTGCGGGATCCTTGGAATCAGCGGAATGATCCGAGCTTCTGTCCATACAGACACACAAACCAGTAAAGGGATTTTACTGTTTTACCAAAAGTAGGAGAGTGGAGTAGATGCTGTGAAGGGAAAACCAGGTTCTTACTGGAACACACTGGAGCGGTGCCCAATTCTGATCAAGCACGTTAGGCAAGAAGGGAATGGAGCTGTTAGTTTTCTGGGCAGAAAGAACTCATCTCAGAATGGTGAAAATGAGACAGAAACACACTCACCAAATGACCCACAGTCCTCAGGCCCTGAGGACACACCAGGGCAGGAAGTAGGTAAAGTTTGTTTTCCACTGGACTCCATGCCAGAGATTTGGCCATTTGAGGACCAGGACAGCCCACGATCAGCTTATGATCCTTTGCCATGATCTTTTCTCTGCATCTTTTAGCATCCTCAGGACCACTTCAGAGAGGTTGAAGTTTGCTCGTAAATCAGACTGCAAAGAGAAAATTGCCTGCTGTCAGAATTACCGTTTTAGAGATCTCTAAGTCTAATACAGTCAATTCTTCCACCGGAAATGGGAAGGATAAGTCATTCATACAGCCCAACAGTTGGCTGATGAGACTGGGGACATATTGTGTGGTGAAATCCTGCTCCTTTAAATACATTAAGTCCTGAGAAATGTCTGTACCAGGTGAGGTGTCTATCTTGTACGAGGCTGAAGGAATGGCAGATCCAGGTTCTCTTTGGCATACTTATGCTTTATGTTGTACATTATTTGACTAAGTGGTTAATTCCTGGCTCCTGTGTGAAGAAGGCAGCAACTGGAATGTTCTCTTGTCTACCTGGGACCCAGGCACTAGGAAAATGATGCTCCATATGGGGTTTGACTAACAAGAGGCTTAAAATGCGGGAAAATCTGGGAGAAATAAATAGCATTGCCTTGGCATCAAAAGGGAGATTTCTCTGGGTCTGTGAGAATGGTCAATGTTCTTCAAATTACCAAAGATAGGAAGCTACTTGCCTGGGTAGAAAATCGCCCCATCTGCATGCACCATTGTCCACGGGCCAGTTGACCCCACCTTCCTGTTTTCAGCATCAGAATGTGTTCAGTATCTCACAGGACTTCTACTCCAGCATCATGATTATAAGGAGTATTGGTAACTGACTTTCAAGCAGTTAGAAAATATCTATTATGTGCTTATTATGGCATGTTTTGGGAATGGGAATAAAATATTAATGAAACATATTTTCTTTCTTCTCCAGTCTAGGGGAAGAGTGAAAAATAAAGAAATTAGAGTAGAATCAGTGTGAGCATGGAGTGCCGCAGGAACACACGGTGGTGGCTCCTATGCTGAGGGGCTGGAAGGCCCAGAAGAGCGGCGGTTCTCTCTAGACATGAGGAGCAGCGCCTGTACACAGAAGGCACAGCAGCAGCTTTTCTTTGGCCAAAGTGTTGCCAGCAAGGTAAGTGGAAGGTTCCCTGTGTGCCTTGACTACCCACTGTATTTTCAGGCAACATAAAGTGGAGGTAAGAGCCACAGTGAAGAGTCTGCACCTTTGATGAGAATTCACAGAGGAGACGGGTGCTAAAAGAAACACAATTTACAACCTTCCATGACGAAGTCCCCTGCCAAAGTGACATGCCCTGTGAGGTTCGTGTGAAACACCAGACACTCCAGAAGCCAGTGCGCTGAGCATGTCTGCAAATCACTGGCAATGTGACGGGCATACATTCATGCGGGGCACTTCCACCAGCCTGCAGAACAAGCATGCACATATCCAGTACCTCTGACACTAAGTTAGCAAGAGGCAAGTGGAGCTCTTCGCTCAGTAAGGTAACCACTGGCCAGTCACTTGGTCACTGAGGCATAGGTTGTTCAGACAGAAACAAAACCGGCACAGGAATTACAGGGAATTTTAGCCAAAGGAATTTTACAAAACAGCATCTTTTTGTGGTCCACACAGTAATATCTCTTGGCCAAAATAGCGTACAAATAGGGTCTGCTGCATAGAATAGGGCTGAGCATACAGATTCCATGCTTCCCTCTCTTTACTGGGTTTTGTGTCTATTCACCGTAATCATTATTTAGATATGCTCCTAGTTGTATTACCATTTTCACTACCATACTAGAGTCACTGACAAGGCAAATATACGTGATGCTTTCTTATAAACACCAACTTTTCTATCCCTAACATTAGAAACAAAAATGGAAGAAAGAAATAATACAAAGAGAAGGACTCACATGGTAGTGATTTCATTTTCTACCTTTCAGGTTATTGAATCATTTCAGAGGATGTGTTTCCATAACAACCTTATTATAATCGCATGCCTGCCAGAGGCAAATATATAGACCCATGTTTCAACTTCCTGTAGTCACACACTTCTTGAAAAATACTGAATGTGCAATTGTCCCCATCATTTGAAGTCATTTAATGACAAAGCAATGGTCAGGTGCTCCAAATGGTTTTTTTACATACCCACTAGCAATGTTTGTTAATATATTCTTTGCCATACGAACTTCTAAATGTTCACTTCAAATTAGCAGAGGAGAATAAGTATTCCCATTTTATTCAATAGAAGTTTTAATAGGAAGCAATAAAATACAATAAGGTAAGTGTCTATGATTTAGAATGAGAAATACCTGCCTTTGAAAGCTCATTTACTGGCTGTCTGACCTTGGGAAAATTCCTTGATCTCTCTGAACCTCAGCTCCCTCAGCTTTAAAACAGAGATAAAAGTAGGTACCTAATTGGGGAGACATTATGTGTAAAACATAGCATATTGCTTGGCTCAGGTTGGAGACTCAGTGTAACTGCCCTCATAATCCTTGTTATTACTAAAATAGCAATCTGGTTAACTTCTGACTTCATGGCTAGTGGCTTTTTGAATGCGCAGTTCAGGGGCCAGAGCTTAGGCTTGAGCCAGTAACACCTGTATTTGAATCCTGAGCGCTCTGTGAAGTCCAAGAAAAGCCACTCGACCTCTGGAGGCGGAGCCCCTTCCAATGGGAAGTTTGAATGTGAATGCCTACCTTGCCAGGTTATTTCAAAGACTGAATGAGGCCATTCTTCTGGCACATGGTAAACATTCACTCAACAGTAACCCCTAGTATCAGTCTGATGTCACAGCAGTAACTGAAAATCAGACCACCATGTGGCTTGTATGCCTTGGAGTAAAATGCCGTCGCACACGGGCGTGTTGGAAAGGATCATCTTCAGCCGCCAGGCATGGCATGTCACACTAGGAGGCCAGGATTCACCAAATGTCTGCATGCAGGCAATGTTGGTGATCGCAGAACCCGAAACCCAGCCTGTGAATATCCCCAGCACTCAAAGACCCAAAGTATCTGGCAGATACTACAGATTTTGAGAGCTAGGAATTTAGAGCAACTGCCTTTTTCTGTGTAAACTGTGTGGAAGGATAGAGTGTGAAGGTCACCCCAGTCTCCAGATCTACTGTTGGGCAAAGCACGCGGCCCTTGGAGACTCAGCTGCTGTCCCAGTCTGTCCTGTAAACACTTCCGGGGGGCCTACTGCAGACGAAGAGTAGGGGCCCTAACATATGTTCGTCCCTGTACAAGTGGCTGCTTTTAACACACATGCACAGAAGGCAAGAGCAGCATCACGTTCCAGAACGTCCTTCAGAAACCACAGGAACACGCCTGACATCTCGTTCATCAACAGGTTTTATTTCCTACAATTGAAACAGTTCAGATCTAAACTGCCAAAGCTGCAGCAGACAGACTTCCCCCGGAGCCCAGGGGAGAAGGGCGGGGGCGGGACGAAGGTGAAGAAAGGCAGGGGGTCTCGGGAGAGGCGGTTGGGCCGCACTCCCTGTTTTCTCCGACAGTCACACAGCAGGTCTGGTGACAATGCTGAGGGCAGGTCGGAGGTGTGGATAGAATCGACGCCGCACGGAGTCATCAAGCCCCCGGCGGAGAGGGGTCCTCCCGGTTCACCTCGTGGACGGGGGCGCGATGGCGAGCTAGGGGCTGGCGGCGGAGGCCTGGGGCTGGGTCTGCATTTAAAAAAATCCTTTGGTTAAAAAGGTTTCCTGAACTATGCGCCTTTTCTTTTGCCTGGGTAGTGTTTGCCTGTGGGTGACCCTACAGCGCTGGGGAGCAGGAATGGGGTTGGCCAGGGTCTCCCCGGACCTGCAGCGTGGCCCCGAGGTCGAAACGGGGACGAGGGACCGACGGTGCGGCGCCTTTCCGTCTCACGGGCAGAGCCACCAGGCCGAGCAGGGCCACCGACTCCCGGGCGCCCGGGTCCTGTCCAGGGGGGTGCCCAGGACGCACCCTCCGGGCCCGGGGAGGGCCGCGGTGGGGGCGGCGGCTACGGGGCCTCCAGGCGGTGGGCGTCGCCCTCCTGTCCCGGCTGCGCGGCGGCGGCGGCGTCCTCCACAGTCACGAGCAGCACGAGCAGCACGAGCAGCGGCTCGGCCGCCGGGCCGTCGCGCTGCTCGTCGGGCGGCTCGGGCCCGGCGGCACGGACGGCGGCGTCCTTCTCGATCTCCCACAGCCCCTCGCTGAAGCCGCGCCGCCTGCCAGGCTTGCCGAGGCGCTGCTTGTGCTGCTTGTACAGGAGCAGCTGCTGGGCGCCCAGCAGCGCCGTGTCGTGGGTGCCGAAGAACATGCGGTAGCGGCCGGCCGCGGCCGCCTGCCCCACCCGGGCGGGCCAGTGCGCGTAGCCCCGGACCTTGGCGAACACCAGGTCCCCGCGCTGGTACTTGCGCCGACGGCAGCACGGCATGGAGGTGGCGGCTCTGGGGCCCGCTGGGTCCGTGGCCGGGCCGCGCGCCCCTCGGGACAGCGGTGTCGGCACGCGGCCTGCAGGCCCAGGAGCCGCCCTGGTGGCGGGGCGAGGCCTGCTCTGCGCGGGAGGCTCCACACCGTAGGAACCAAGCTCTGCTCCCGCCGACGTGCTGGGGGCCTGGGTTCCTCAGGCCACGGACTCAGAGTGTCGTCGTGGCCCAAGGCGGCTCCAAGGAGAGAGGCTCAGGGTGCCGGGCTTGTCACGGTGCTGCGCCCCATCGGAGCTGCCGGCCGGGAGCCGCACCCCAAGGCCTGGGACCCTGGACACACCGCTGTACAAAGGCCTTCCAGCGTCGCCCATGGGCGTGACTGGCGGACGGCCTTCCAAGTGTGACCCGCGCGGCCCGCAGGGGACCCGGGAGGATCGGCGCTCGGCACATAGGGGCACCGCGAGGGTCGGCCTGCATAGCCTCCGGGTTTGTTTCTGTGCAGGAAGGACCCACTGGACACTGGACACCCCCGGTGGTGGGTACCTGCTCGGGAGAAAGAAGTTATAATAGGATGCACTCAATCATTATAAACAAGTTCTTTTAGCTTTTCTGTCACTCCCATTTCTTAGAATGTTTATCTGTCTGAAAATACCAACAGTTTCACCACCACTTCATTCCCGATGTGACACTGCGCTACGAAGCAGCAGCATCTGGCACGTTCCCTCTCTCGGTGTCACATAAATG